CAGTGATCCTGTGCTAACTCTGGCAACTGAAAACAGATCTAGATACGGTAGACTCTTAAAACCAAGGACATGCTCTTAGACATAATGTACAATATAGACGTTTTGGACTTATATCCTCTTTTCTTTAGCAATGACTTTAATTAGAAGTTTATTCTTTATTGATCTCATTTTAGTATGATCTGTCATATATATTGTATGTTAACCGAGTTTCTTTTATGTGTTTTCTAAACTAATACATAGTACTGTTTTGTTTTATTCGTAATGTTAGAAAATTTTGTGCAATGTCTGATTTTGAGAAAATCAGGGTGGGAGGATGTTGTACCTCTCATCATACAGCGAGGATAAGTCTGGCAACAGCTGCAGGAAGAAAAACTTGGCAGTGCTGGAATGGCAACAGCGGATGATATTCTATAGATTTTTTAATTTTGATTTTGAGTCGATGTTTTTTTTTTGCGTCTTTTGCGATACTATTGCGTTACCAAATTTGAGTTTTGGCTGAATGAAATGGAATCCGCTGTCCCCCTGCTGCGATATTAGTAAAATATATTTAGAAAATTAGCTGCGTTGGAAAGGATGAAACCCTTGTGTTTGAATTTGCGGTATTTTACCTCCTAAAGTTGCGTCGAGTTCAGAATATTATGCCAGGCTTATTCACGCTGGTGCAGATAAGTTTAAAATTTTGTTATTGTGTTTATAGTGTATAATTTGCAAATATATGAATAGAATTCTATTAAATAAACATTTAAAATTCTGGAATGGTGTTTTAAAATTTTAGATGTAGAGTATTCACATTGCTATGTCGGAGCCAGTGGCAGTCAGGTGTAAAGTAAAATTGTTTCTGCTCTACTACATAACAAGCTTGTTGTATTAAACCTTTTTTTTATTGTATTTTATCTTCTACTTTTTTCAGCCCAAAGGACGTTAGCCCAAAAGGGCTATTGTTTGCGTTTTGGCATTTTGCCTTGAAAACTTTAAATGCTCGTTTTACTTTTCAAATTGTTGCCACCAAATATTATCGGTAATATAAAATCTGAAAGCTTTCGGAATTTTTTTTTTAATTAGTGGAATTAAATGTTAATCAATCCTTAAGTTGCGTTGTTTTTGAGATAGTGAATGCAAAGTTATCTGTATAGAAGCGATGAAAACCATGTGACATAATGATATCACAACTTTAAAAGGAATATGTAAGTGATTTGATAGCCAGAAAAACAGATTTTTCAAACTTTCCTTTGAGATTGCAATTTTTAAATAAATATAGAAAATCGCCCAACTAATAGTTTTTTTTATAATTCTTGTTTTAAAAGAAAGCGAAGTGTTTTATATTCTGTGAAAATTTCAAAAATTTATATTCGATGTATTTTTGGATGTGGAGATTTTTGAATCATAGATGTCAAATAATCGGTAAAAATGGAGCAATTTTTGAAAATTCGCTGAAAATTAAGAAATGAATTTGTAACAAATTTTATTTAAAAGATTTTGTTCCTTTCTATTCGAATTTTGTTTGTTACAGTAAAAATCGTTAAAACACTAAATAAAAGGAATCTAAATCAAATTTTAAAAAAATTGCTCCACAATAATTGCATTGTCATCGACAAACAACGAATATACGAAATCTTAGCTAGATATCATATTGGAAAGTAGATTAAAAATTGATGACCAAATTCTGACACTAGTGAAACAACTTAAGTTTAACTTAATAAAAGCTTATGAAAAGAATCTCGTTCGTTGTAGAACAAAACGTTTTCATAAAAATAAGTAGTATCTCTCTTGAGTTCGTTATTTCAGCTAACAAATTTTAAATGATGGAAATAGAATGACATATTGAGAAACATACATCTAATGGAAAAATTAAAAATTAAAAAGGACTAAAATATATAACAAAAAAGTATCTAAAAGGACTAAAATAGAATGACATACTGAGAAAAATATTTATTGACAACATTGACTTTGAAAATACGAACGTTAGTATGGGAAATAAGAAGAACGCATTTTATTTATAAACACTTTACGGACAACAACATTGACTAAACTTTGTTCAAATGTGTTTTTGTCTTTTTTCGGTATCTCCACATGAATCCACATAAGTATAAAACAAAGCACGATTATTACCGCACTTTACTTTGTTACTCGAAGTAATTTGATTAAAGTTGATTTGATTTAAATGATTATGCAAAGCACCCAAGCGCTATTTGCCAAAGGTGAGGGATGCTTTCGTGGAGGACTGTCTAAGGAAAACTCGATACAGACGTTACACATGGGGAATACCATCAAAATTCCTATACAACCAGCGCGTTCGTCCGGATTCGAACCCCTAGCCGTAGTAACAATGTGTAGTAACTTTACTGCGCGGCCGCTGTTGGGTCGTATCTTGTTGGTGTATATGTGTTTCTGTAAAAATTTATTTGACGCATGTTTTCTTATCAAGAAAAAGATCCTGAAAATATCATATTAACTGATTTCATTTATTTCCTGCTCAAAGTATTTATTTCCTGGACTTAAATCATGAAATTTCTTCTTATGCTTTAAATTTTCTAGAAAATCTAAAATACTGTTTTTTAATTTCACTATATAAAAAAAATTATCCTCAAAAATTTTCTTACAAAACCCACGCCGATAGATGGGTATTTTTGAGAAACTGAACATATTGTAGTGACCTAAAATGGATGATACAAACAAATCTTAGTTTTAAAACGCTGGATAAAACTTGTATGATTTTGCACTTCTGATTTATGAATTCAGAAATTAAATCTTTTAAGTTTCCACGTTTCTCCACGTTGATAAGAAATGCAGGAGCATGGGTTAAGTGTGTAACTTTCTCTCCAATTTTGCAAGCTCTGTAAAATGTAATCTTACGTTTTTTTATTCAAGTTTAATTAGCAGTTAATTTATTAGCTGACTTAGACTCATATAGAAGTTTGTCATTATATGATTTGCACACTAAAAGAAGGGTTCTTAGCGATTAAATTAAAATATTGTCCTTTAATTTTAACAGGACTGCTTAAAACTTATGCAGATTTTTTAAAACCAGTTTAAAACTAAGCACCGGACTAGAAATACGTATTTACGTTTAAATACACAATCTTTACTTACAGCGCGAAGCTGAAATTTAGAATGTAACTTTAAGCAACTGCTTACTGAAATGATTATTGAAGTCGCATATAAAAAATATTCATCTAACATCTATGCCTGAAAACTGAGCTGCCTGAACATTTTCATCACGTTCATATTAATGCATAAAAATTTTCGTCTTAACATCTGGATACAAATGTTGCTTTCTGCTTCTCTAAGAAGCTCAGAATTCAAGTTTTTTTCAAAACAGGAAGCTTTGCCACTTCAGGAAAATACACTGACTACCAATAAGTATTTGGACACCTGCGATAGAAAAGAAAAACTAACTTTATTCAAAATCAATAGTTGGTAGAGCGTCCATGAGAGGTAATTACAGCGCGGACCCTCCGGGGCATACTTTCCACAAGTCTTTGTATGACAGCTAGTGGTATTTTCTTCCACTCGGCTTGGAGAAGACATACAAGTTCCTTCACCGATTTTGCACGGGTAGTGCACCCCTGAATTCGGCGATGCAACTCGTCCCAGAGGTTCTCGATAGGGTTCAGGTCTGGACTCTGGGTAAGCCAGTCCATTCGATGAACTCCATTGGCATCATACCAAGCCTTGGTTAACGTCGAAACAAGACAACTGACATTGTCGTCCTGAAAGTAACAGGGGTCCAACCCGTAAAACTGCCACAACGTAGGAAGCACATTGTCATCCAAAATTGTGCAGTAGGCATCGGAGTTGAGCTTACCATGATTGGGGACCAAGGATCCCAGCCCATACCAGGAGAAAAACCCCCAGACCATAATTCCACCTCCCCCGACTTGACTGTTGGCACAATGCATTCTGTCAGGAGACGTTCTCCAGGTAGACGCCAGACCCAGACCCTGCCATCCGAACGGTAAAGGGTGAACCTTGATTCGTCACTCCAAAGAATCCGTTTCCACTGATCTACGGTCCAATTTCGATGTGCTTTGCACCACATTAACCGAGCAGCGCGGTTGGACTTATGGGACTTATGGGATCAAAGGCTTATGGGCAGCAGCACGACCATGAAAACCAAGCAGATGTGTTTCCTTACGGATGGTATTCCTTGAAACAATACTCCCGGATTCCTGTTGAAACTCCTTGAGGATGAGGGCCATCGGTTGGGTGCGGTTCTTCCGAATTTCTCTGGACAGCACTCGTCGGTCTCTATCTCCTAGTTTCGCTGGTCTGCCGACTCGGGGCACATTCCGACAATCACCGCTCACCTTCGACTTTTTAAACACATAGGCCACTGTCGATTTTGCGTACTTCCGATCGCTAGATATGTCCCTTAAGGATCGGCCACATTTGTGATACCCTATAATTATACCTTTCTCGAAATCAGAGAGCTCCGAAGTGCGAGGCATCTTGCATGCGACTAAAGCCGATGCTGTTTCCTACACGATTTTTTCCAGGCGGAGTCCATGAAATACCTTAGGACCGCAGATATCGTCATTTGCATAGGTGTCCAAATACTTATTGGTAGTCAGTGTAATATCTACTGCTTGAGCGCAATATGTTTAGCGAGTAGCATAGTTTAACTGAGTAATTATCAACTAGTGAGTAACAATTGTCAAATTTGATACCAATACTTAGACCGGGGTTTGTAAACTGTAATATGTATACATTATTTTTGTGGTACAACTTTTACGCGACAGATTTAAATGAATGTAAAATGGAGCGAAATGTAATCGGAAAACGCTTTTATATTTTTCAGTCTTATATATAGTCTTATATAAATATATTTTTCAGTCTTATAGTTGCGGCACAAATTTTTAAAAGATTGAGAACACAAAGTCTGGACAAATATTTACTAATTTTAATTTATTTCTGATAAAATTATATTCATATTTACTCTTCTAGTTTATTCAGTTTTAGCTTTTTGTAAATTTTCCTAAAATTGTTTAATTTGTTTTCAGTTAAGCCGTTGAAGACGGATCGAAAACAGTTGAAAAAAATAAGGGCTTTCAGTTCAGAAATACTGAGAATGTTAATGCATCACTTCCTGGAAATTGGAAAATCTTTCAAATATCTGTTTAGAAAGCTACTAAAGCTGTTTTAAATGATAAGCGACTTAAGAAAGTAAGAAAATGCTTTTGTGGTATTAATAATGATAATTTTGAATTTTTTTTTACCGGTTTCTGAGTATTTTCCGAAGTTAATCAAATCCTTAAATCAACTTCATGTTTGCTAAGAGTATATTGCATTTTTATTTAAGATTCAGAGTAATAAAAAAGATCTCCCTTTTTTTCAGTTTAATTTATAATTTAATTAAAATTAATAATAAATATAATTAAAATTTTCAGTTTATAAAAATAATCGATAACTAATTTAGTTGTATTTCACGCAATTAAACTTTGAAAAAGACTTTTCTTAACATATATAATTTTTAAGAAGCATTTGAATACTTTAATTTAGAATATGATACTAGATATTATTTAGTGTAAAAATATTTGATAAAAATTGCTCCTGTTGAATTTTACTGTATGTGTAACATGAAGGTAAATAAAAGTAATAATTATGATATTAAATTTAAGTTTTATGTCTTTTAAATTAGGGATTTTAATTGTGTGGCTAGATGCAGTATGAGTATTTGTGAAGACAAATTCCACATAATTTTTTTCAGCATTCCATTTGGATTTCTTTAACATTGAGTGCCATAACAATTGCGCACCAAGAAGTAATTGCCGGATTGTAAGCAAACAACGAATGAAAATACATGTCAAGCAGATATGCAGATTACCAGAAACACAGAGTGAAGTGCGTTACGTCATTCAACTAGAGGACATTAAACTATTCATTCCCTAAAACGGGTACGCAGAGCATTTTCGCTGTACTTTATCTGTTGTAGAGGAAAGTGTTTTTAACAGAGCGGCCGTTACACCTCGATCGAAAGCAAGAATGATGGAAATTGGGTGACCAGCTCGCTGGTGAGCAGCCCGCCATTTATACAGTTATTACGTTTTTAGGGCCAGTGGACGAGAGAAAGGTCTCATACGCGGTGCCTCAGGACGTCCTCTACACACCAACAACCGAGAGGACCGTCAAATTACACGACATGCACACACACACACAGTGGCAACTGCATTAATGTCTGTCTTCTGGACATACGAAGCATTTTCAGTTACGGACCTTGTGTCTGTCCGTACCATCGTGAGATCTGTGGCTGAAAGAAATTTGGTATCCCGGCGCCCATTGCGTGAGCTGCTAATGACATCTGTCTGCCGTCGCCTCTGTTTGGATTGGTGCTGTACTCGATGGAATTGGACTGGCGTCGTGTTCGATGGAATTGGACTGGGGTCGTGCTCGATGGGACTGGCAACTACAAATATGTACGTGTGGGAAAGTCCGTAGTAACTCCCCAATCCAGCCTTCGCTTTACAACGACATACTACTCTCACAGTTGGAGTGATAGTATGGGGGTACTGTAGCGTATGGCACGCAGTCAACTCTAATATTGTTCCACGGTACCATGATACCCCTAGCACGATACAAGTTGTCACAATTTAGGACTTTGGTCGAACTAGAGACGCGCTTACAGCAGCTGTTGAGTAAGATGACATAGAAAGAACACGGGAAGCATATTTCACAAGTGCACATCTGTGTAGCCACCGAGGGAGTGGCTTCTAGGACGGACCAATGAGCAGCCAGTAAAATTTCTTTTCATGTCACATGACCTTTTGCGTGCTTTAAGATTTAAGCAAGATAATTGAAAATATTCTGCCACGCAATTTTCTGTACAAAATAACTAAAGCATCGTCGATTGCTTCTGAAACTTTTCATTGCGAAGTTAAATCAATTATAGGAAATTATGAAGATTTCACTACCTGGTTGAAATAAATACAAACACATATTGGATACTAAACATGGATACTTAGTAATAAACAAGTAGTGTTAGATAAACACTACATGGATACTTAGCAAAAATATCGATGTGAAATATTGCTTAATATGTGTAAATAAGATGAAGGAAGAAATATGTGATAAACATCTGAGCCCAAATGCAATCTTTACATAAAACTATGCTATAAGAAAAATATTTACACCAATTATATATGTAAATAGAAGTCAGCACTTTTTATTGCAGTCTATGTGAAAAAGATTTTCTATAATAATAACCAATGCAGAATTTTATTCAAAGTGACCTTTACTAATTTGCATTCGTATACATTTAGTGTGTTATTTCATATTTAATAACTGCTCACTGTTAAATGTACTGTCTACACAAGAAATACTCATCAAACAGAGTGAATTTATCGTATTCACAACAAGTATATTCAATTTATTCACATATAATTTTTAATGTTAATAATGGATATAATCAGATCATATGTATTCTGAATTCTTACACTTCAAAACCAAAAGAATGCAAGCCACTGAAATAAGAAAACACTAGATTCATTGTAACACTTTCAGTCATTTTCAGCTCAATTAAAAAAAATATACACTTGAATTATTTTAATCCACATAATATACCGTGAACATCAATCCTAATATTAATGCGTGATAGAAATCGCGAAAGTGAAATGTCAGCGATTAATGAAACTCAGGAAACGAAAGCACTACGAGATTTTCTACTATTACGCCATATATTTATAACTGCGAAGCAAATGCAAATTAAAACATAAACAACATATTGTTGTTTGACTTCTGAATTAGCATAAACAACATATTTTCACTGCACGAAGATTTAGCTTCACAAGAGCAATAGCAGCTCATTAGTCCATTTTCGAAACCCTTCCCTCAGTGGCTACGCATGCACACGGGAACTGTATACTTCAATGACTTTTCGTGTCGTATCCATGGACTTTATAGAAATAGACTAACCCAAACGAGTTTTCTCCCTCGTCTGAGGCGTTGCCGCCTGTCACCTTGATCACTTCCGGAGGAGTAGGGACGACTTGTAGAAATTTAACATTGGTTGCCTATTGCAGCGTGTATAATTGTCAAGAAAAAGCTGGTTGTAGCGCCTCATTTCACAAATTAGAATTTCTACATATCTTTATTTTTGAAATTGAGTTTGATTTTTAAAAATTTAGCGTATTTATCAAGCATAATTAACGTTCCAAATAATTATAAAGATGTTGCATCCTTTCAGGACTGGATATTTTTTTAGCTTTTCCTATGCTGTATGAAATTTGTAACTACTTCTTTTAGAAAATAATATTTTAAATCTGAACTAATAGAAGATTTCAAACAAGCAATTTTCTCTTGCAATTTTTATGCTTTTTATTGGTGTAAATAAGTTAAAAATACTTAAAAACGAATTTTTGAAAGTTTTGTTTAAAATTCTAAATTGTGCTGCTTTTTTAAAATTATATATTATTATAGCACAATTTCTATAAAGGAATTTTATTTCAATTATATTCATAATACATCATAGTGATAAACACTTTTTGACTCCTTAATAATTTTTATACATTAATTCTAATATTAAAATTGTATTTAACCGTAATAATTAATTTTGCTTGTATTTTATAGTGATTATTTTTTAAAATTTATTTTTTTAGTTCTGCATAACATTTTTTTTTATTTACTGTTAATTTAATTTATTAGCCCAAAGGGGCGGTATCCAAGAAAGGCTGTTAGTTTCGAAGCGGCATTTTTCGCTGTTTTACTATAAATGTCCGTGTCTCCTTGCAAATTGTTGTTACCAAATATTATCGCCCTGTATTATATGTAAAGAAATTAAATAATGAAGAATCTGCATGAATACATGCATGTTTCTCGCACTGTGACAAAAACGACAGTATCTAGAGCCATCAAATTTGAATAATGTAATCCTCCACCCGAACATGGGCATCTGGACGGCCAAATATCGAATTTGTTTTAATCTATTTCCTATATTGTAAAACTTTAATGAATTTTTGATTAACAAACTCAACGAGTTCAGAGCGAGCACTGTACGGAAAATAACAGTTTTATCTCCAGTGCGGAAATTTTAAACATATGCTGTTTTCAAAAGGTACGTGATTTACGGGGGAAGAACACGATATTCAATAAATATAGGTAACAGACAAAAGTTTAAAAAAGGTTCTTTTTGGGCGTAATATAAAATCTGAGTGCTTCTAGATTTTATTTTATCTTTTTTCTCCCTTCATTACGCTCAGAAAATTTTATGCTCCGAATTTTATGAATTATTAAAATAACTAATCCACTTTAATGTTAATAATTTAATGATCCTTTAATCAAATAAGTATGATCGTTTTGTAATGTTATTACAGTTTGGAAAATCACTGCCTGAAAATGCTCATTAAATTAAAAAGAAATTATCAGATTTTGTTTAATTTTACCTTATTTATTTCAAAGCATCGCGTACTATCAATCGTATTTAATTTTACTTAATTTTTACGCAAAATTAAGTTAATAAATTTTGTGCTTAGAGTTTTTACCGTTTTACCAAAGTAAGATGTTTGTACAAGAATTATGTGTGAAAAAATGCGCGAAATGCAGTAAAAAAGTGCTTTAATGAGATATATTAAATTCTATTTGGAAAAAACTGTGGCTTTCATAATCTCATCACTATACAACGTATCACATCAGATCGTCCCTACTCTTTCTTGCCGACATATAGGTGACGCGCGCCCCGCCCACCGGGTTGGTCTATCTCTTATAAAGTCCATGGTCGTATCACGTATTCATGCTAGAGATTTCCCAACAGGGCAGTACTATAGAATCTCTTTTTATTTGTAGTATTCCTGTAATAAACAGTCATTTTGCTTTGTTTTTATAATAATTTAGTTAATATCAACGTTGCACTCATGTGTATAAAATTTCTTTCGTTTATGACCATTCTCTCTTGGTGCGCAAATTTTTATGGCGATGAGTGTAAAATTCAAAAGAAAACTATAGTTTGATAACACAGGTGGAAAGGTTTACCAGGCAATCGAACAAGAAAAAATTTACTAATTAATAATTAGCGCCTTGTAACCTTTCTATCAGATTTGATTTTTTAATGATACTGCCAGGTTACCTTTGAAATATTCTGCATGATACTAGGGATACGCTTATTAGTTTCAGAAAGATTATTTTAGGATAACGTTAGGGAAAATCCTGCCATAAAGTGAAGACTTGGAGTATCAGTGTGCGGAAAATAATTAATTTAATCCTACTGGTATGCTATCAGTCGAACAAAAGAGAACTAATTCTTCGCTTATTCAAAGATAAAAAATTCTGATATTTACACTCTACTACTTTCTTGTACGGCCTCTTAAATATTCTTAACAATAATAACAATAACAACAACAACATAAAAATAATAATAACCACAAACTAATATTAAATATTGTTAGATATTTATTATTAGACTAACTACATATATAAACCCTCACAATGTACGTAGTAAGTTTCGTAGGTTGTCGAAAATTAATTTCTATAAAACTTAACATTACCAGAAGATGAATATTTTCATGTAGTATTACTGCCTTAACTGAAAACAGGTACTTCATGGATTCCTAAGCTAGCAACGTTAGCTTCCCGTGACAGTATTTGAATTTAAGGTAAAATACTACAATACATTTCTTGTCTTAATAATTGCAAGTGCTGAATTAAACGATAGAGAATAAGTGAATTATGAATGGTGAGGTATCACACAGAATGTTCTATCATAATGCGACCGATGCAGATGTTATAGGTTCAGCGCCACTGCTCAGTTTTTTTTTTTTTTTTTTTTTTTTTTTTTTCAATGGCGGGCTTTAGCAGTTTATAGGTTTTGGCCACTACTAAGGCCGGAAGCAGTTGTCTCTTTATTATGGAGGGATGTACAAGGTGGGACACCTGAAATCCTGAAATCCCCTGAGTTGGCTTCCGTCTCAGGTTATTACATAATCCATACAGAATTGCTTACCGTTGCCTCCTACGAAGGGACGCGAAAAGTCATCCATGCCTTCTCGGGATTCGAAGCCGAGCCTTTCCGTATTGCAGTCACAGTCGCTAACCACTCTCCCGTCTGCGCGACTCTGATCAAATGTACATTATTTTATAAATTTTCTACAAAGCTGTATGACACAGTCTTTATATATAATAATTTTATTATTTCTACTTACTGTAATCAGTATACTGTGTTTGCCCTGAAATTCATAAAGAAAGAACATATGCATTTAACAATAAAATATTTACATTATAATAATCTATGTCTATCTAATAATTACATGAAACTAATATTTCTCTTCTTTACAGGTCGTACTGGGGTCTTTTATCACAAAGCTTTCTTGACTGAGCTGATGATCTAAATAAACATAAATTATACTCAAGCATAAGTAACGTTTTGATCTGCTAACCATTCAAAGTTTTGATTAGGTTCAGTTCCTAGTTATTTAATTCTCCAATAGTGATTTCGACAATTAATACAATTGAAGACATTAAATACAATAAAAGTACATTTTGAAGTAAGATTTTAATTGCTACCTTTGTGATGTATTTTAACAGCAAGATCTGTAAATGTTTTTATGGAAATAAGTAGTTCATTGTTTGATAAAGTAAAGAACTGAATTTCTAATTATACACAAACTTACGCTTTGTCTGAGCTGCGCATAAACTGTCTTTACCAAGAGTATTCTCTACTGCAGCTTACCAACTGTATACTCCCTGCAACTGCAGGGTCCGCCAGAAAATTATGTACACAGTTTAACAGAGGGTATCTGCACTTTGTTTTTCGAAAGTGAATTGAATTATGTTTACAATATGTACTATGGTGTTTGCTCAAAACATATCGGTACTCTCATGCGTGTAATAAGTGACATATTACTTATGGTAGTGAATCAAGTTGGAGTTCAGAGATTTTGAAGAACGTCATGTAGCGCAGGAAATCGATTACGGTGGAGGGGTGGAGGTCCTTCGTGAAGAAATTACAGCGACATGGTTTTTCCTCTGACACATTCACCGATATTGTTCCTGTAACCGCTCTCCATTGTGCAACGTGTCTGGTCATTAAACGCCATCACTCTGACATTTGAGCAAACTAAGTAACTATACAAATGAAAGTGGAGGAAGATTGTATTAAAGTTAACCTAAGATATGCATGATTATATTAATATATAGTTAAGTTCATCTCTAACACATAATAAAGAAAATTTCTTTCAATAAAATGTGCATACATGTTTCTGCCGGATCCTGTATTTCCATGTATTTTCTGCATGAAATATTTTATAAATGAGTGGCTCTTCTCTTGACCTTGAATTCAACCGAGAGTTTATTAAATGCGCCCTTTAATATGTTTTTGAGTGTTCACTTCCTAGAAGCTATTATAATAGATATTAAAACTTAGCATTTGCTTTGCATGTGCTATATTACATTTATATGTGCATGTACAGTTTCCCTCATTACAGTTACGGAACTTAACCTAGGAACTGGCTTTATAATGGGTGGGGGGCTAGACAATCTAAATCTCGCGTAATATAAATATGTAACGTGTCCTCGCATACACGAAATGAATTTCGTACCACTTTATTTTATCTCATTTTTATTTCGTACTTACTACTGAATTTCGTATACAATTTCATTTTTACTTATTGCCAGCACCTTAAGACTTAAGTTATTAACTTCAGACATAATAACAATATACTTTAATCAGAATATATTTTATTGTAACTCAAGAATATAGTGAAGAACACATGTGTGCATGCATATATAGTATAAGGATAGCAAGGATATAGTGCAGATAACATGTGTGCATGCATATATAGTGCAGATAACATGTGCGCACATGTGAATAAAATGTTCAGATTTGGCAAACAATAAATTTACTTTTTAATTTCTTTTTTGTCAAATATTATTGAATACCATGATTGTTATTTAGAAGATATTTCAGTCAACTGATTTGGAACACTTTAATAGCAATAACACTTTGTAACGGCATGCTGGACGTTTCTTGAATTGGCTTTTGTGCAAGGTTAGCCTTCTGTGATTAACTAGGACAGTAATATGATTTCTGTACATTTGACAACACATAATTTCATGATGGGAGCATGTGACGATTTACAGAAGACTTAAGATACACGCACGACCACCTTAAGCATTCAGGAAAGACAAAATCGTGCAGCAAGGCATGAACATAGTAAACTAGCAGCTGCTCAAGTTGTTACTTATGATAATGCATGACATCATGATCATAATGTGAATAATGGATAAACAGAGTGAAAATATACATCACAGTAGCATTATGATAATTCCATTTGACTTAAGACAGAAAGTATGGAAGAGAAAGGAATATACAGAAAATGTTGGGGACTGTTACAAAAGGAAATGAACTTACACAGATACAGAAAAATCTACAGAGCTGAATATGAGTCACTTAATATGAGTAGAAGCGCTAAGCATAGAAGAAACGCGTGTAGCTATATTGTTAAAATTGTGAGAAATTTATACTAAGAAGTGTATGTCTATGTCTGAAGCAGGCTGCTTGCGGCTTAACATGACTCAGCAAGCAGTAGCACAATATAACATATTGAGCCAATATTATGACGCGTAAATCTCTCATGCTGAGTATCGCCCATTCTAATCAAATGCAAAATGTGTGTGTTTTTAAGGTGGTATTTAGATGCTCGTGAGCAAGCATATATAAAGTACTCAGCTGTTTCCTCCCTACCGTATACACAGTGATCCGTATTTCTGTTTTAGAAGAGGTGCACCAATAAAGTGATGAAATAGTTATAAAGTAAGGAATGGACCGTATCCAGACATATATTTATCATGGACGAGATTTTAGGAAGGAGACTTCATAGCTCTCTTGCCACCTTTGGAAAAAAAAAATGCCTTGCGAACCTTTGGAACGTGATCTGCAACATTTTTTAAGCAGTTACTACTGAGTAATCTTCTTAAGATGTGATGTTGGAAGAACAGTTGAGACTTCCGGATCATATGCAAGTTGCTTGCTGCTTGTTTTTCCAGCTCGTTAGCTAGTTTATTTAGAATAATTACCGTGTGGGATTGACTCAGCTTAGAACAGGACAGTTAGGAGTCAATGTTAGCAATATTAGGGTTCGAATTGCATACACAAATTGACTTCCGTTGCATGCGACTGATTTAGGTCCCTACAGGTGCCTTAAGTAAAACTGTGATTCATATAAGACTTTAACTCTTTTATATCTAAAGCCTTATTTTCCGCCTCAAAAACGAAGTTGCTTGATCCGAGCCCGCGAGTCCGTTTGTACTGATCATTATTGATCTGCAGATTGAGATGGCCGCTGCCAGTACCATTTTCCATTTTGTTCGTCCATATGGATGGTTTCCGTAATATGAGTGCCTTCCAGAGGAACCTTATTCAAGTTCTTGAACTATGAATTGTTGTTCCATATTCGAGTGAATAACACAACTCTCTACTATGATTGATACAAGCAAATATTACACAGGAACTCAGCAAATAGGTGAACAAAACATATAATTTACTACATTAATATACACAGTTGATATTGTTCAGTAAAATGCATCTGACTAACTTCTTTTTACAAGTTACAACTGACATCTGGAGTAAATGTTCTCTGTAAACTCAGAATCACAATGCATAAAACATTGCTGAAATCTTCATTCAGCACAGTCAAAGTCTTGACAACACAGGTCATAAATACCCATCTTAATAACCACAGGTCACAGATACACATTTTCCTTTAACTATAAGTAACTTTATAAACTCCGCTACAAATTTTAATATTCCATAAAGCTTTTTACTTGGGGCTAGTGACAACAGAATGCTCCAATAATTGAGTACAAATGCTGATAGTCATACAGAAGGCGGTACAGCAACTCATCTGGTACGTAAGTATGCATTGTAAGTAAGCTGGTAAGTAAGCATTGTTATGTAGCGAGTACCTGCGATAGAGCACGTTTTCATACCTTTGGAAATGACCTTTTCGAAGAAGTGCGGAACTGAAAACGAATGTGTTTGAGATGCCGTATCATACCGTAACTTCAGCTTCGCCTAAAGGCGCTGGTGCGACATCGTGAAGATTTTCGTCAGGCCAATGAATGCAGATATTGGAGTTTATGTTTTCAGTTCAGGTGAAATGAGCCTCATCCGCCCATAATACGCTTAGCGGCGAACTGCTATCTTCATCACATCTAATGAGGAAAAAATTCGAACCCGCTGTTGCTCGTCTCCAGGTTGCAACATCTGGCCACGTGGGAATCGCTAAGAGAACACCCACAGAACAAAGCGCAGAAGCTTGAGCACTGTGGTTTTCGGCACATCCAAACTGCAGGCAACATTTTTTTTTAGTATGATATAGACCTGCAGTAATCCTATTATGCACTTCCGCAATTCCAACTTCAACACGAAACCATGATCTTTCGGATCGCGGATCACATGTGTATCTAGGTTCTTCTATTTTTTTTTATCAAATCACGTAGGGTTTTTACGGAACAGCTGCTTCATCTTAGCTTATGGTTTCGCCTGTAAACTCGCATTGATTCGACAGCATTTTCCCACTATTAAATGAATTGATAAAGCAGCTTTATCAATTCATTTAATTGTTTCCCTGTAAGTGCAATCGAGGAAGTTTTTTTTATGACCAATCTGTACTTATTTTATTATCTAAAATTTCCAGCGTAATACAGAATACATACATTACATGACAAGCTTTCCTATTCAAGCCTACAAAATTAATAAACATAAATTAATTTTTGGATCAAATTTTATTTTAATTTGTTAGCTTTGACATATTTAATGAAATAAATTGAAGATGATAAAAAATTGAAGAACAATTGAACTTATAACAGTTTAGTTAAAAAGAAATCAGACAATGTTTCAAATATATGCCTATTTGCATTGTAATTCAATCCTTGGAAATGTTAAATACTCATCAGCTATTTAGCTATTTCATCACTGAAAACGTTGGTTAAAGTGCATTTCGGGGTCGGGGAAATGGATTGCACCCGTGAGAAGTTCCGTCCCAATTTTGCTGAAAGACACATTAACAGAAGAATCCGATGATTTCCTATTTTCGCTTTTTCCCTACATCAAACCTCCTAAGAAAAATTTCAGTTAGACAATGATTTGAGTACCAAAGTTTGCGAAGAATCTATACACTTAAAAATAACCATGCTTATTCCGTAATTTCGATACAGGAGTCAGCATCGTTAACCACTCTACCGAAGAGAGTTGATAAATAAGATATTAAATCTATTTCAGAATAAAGAAGCAGAAAGGGAATATAAGAGTGTTAACACAAGGCACGTCGGCCACCTCCCCTTTAAATTAAATATTCATGCAAAGAATAGGTTTTGAAGTAGTAGATATTTTTCTTCTATTTCTCTTAAAACGTTTTCTCTAGCAATTTTTTTCCTTCTTCCAAATTCTGAGAGAAAATCGGTGCCGCGTTAAATATGCTTCTGTTAACTTCTGTGAAAGAAGTCAAGTTGAAAATTCGAACAAAGAGAGAATATTTTGTAACAACGGTTTGGCCTGCATAATTGTTTAAATAATATGATGATAGAATTATTGTGTACAAGTTTTCAACTTCAATCCCTTAAACAAGATATGATTTTGTAGTTGAAACGTGTTATCAAAAGAGGCTAGTAGTGATGACCATTTTCATCTTGGATGCAAAAGAGATAAAAAAAAAATCGCTACTGAATTTTGGAGAGTAATACAGAGCAGAGACTCTGAACGTTTTCCTTGAATGAAACCTTTTAAAGGAATGGTTTTCTTTGACTGCCTTATATTTTTCTTTATAATATATAGTATACAAAATAATCACAATAAAAAGAATTGCAAATCAGTAACTGAGAGATAAAAATTAGTTTAAGAATATATATGATCAAGAAGATGATTATTTTTTTGGAAAAACAATTTATGTTTAATTATTTTTTGTATTGTTATTTTTTTAACTTTGCAAATATTAACAGTTTTTTAGAAACAAAAATCAGAGATTATAATTGCACAATAGTTCGATTTTAATTAACGTGTAATTTAATTAATGCGCTTCAGCATTTTTAATATTTGGTTTAAAATTAGTTACTTTAATTTTTTAATTCTCTCGTTCAAAAATACACATATTTTGGTTCTGGTTTCCAATTCCAGTTTTCCGTTTTTTGTGGGGTTTTTTTTAAATCTTCTTGTTTTTTTGCGTTTTACTTTTTAACTGCATAAAAATCATGCATTTAAAGAATACTGATTTTCAAATTATAGTAAATAATTTTAGTGTATTTTCTTTCATATGTTTATTATATATGAGGTCTCTTTTTACGCTTTGACACAGCTTTATATCATTAAACAATTAAATATCAGTTTTAATAATAATTTTTTGTAACTAATAGGATCTGCATTACATCTATCAACGTCCAGTGTATATTCGATTATAGACTCCTGGTTCGTCATTGACACTCTTTAAAATTTCATCTACCCACAGGGAATCTATAGTTATCCCGTTCGGAACCCCTGATATAGGGGTATGCAGTACAGTTTTCTTCCAATTAAAACATAATCACTTTACCACACAATACAAGAAACGTTTCCATTCTCTTTGTTTCTTGGAATTTAATAGTGTGTTGAGCATTAAATGATAAAAATTGAGTGTTTTTTCTGAGTTAACAAGGATGAAAACGGCTTTTTAACAAAGTCGTCAATTAAAGTAAGATTTCTAAATTAATTAAAAAAAGTAGGCAATTGAACATAACTTATTAGCTATTTGACAATTACCAGAAGTCTTCTGTATTAATATATTCACCTCAATACATTCTCAGTTACAGTCTGCTGGTAATTATAAATTACACAGGCAAAACAAATGACAATCTGAGAGATTAATCATATTTAGCTATCATCTGAGTTTAATTTAATATATTATTCCTTGACTTGAGATTAAGACATTTTGAATAGTTGGTGAAGCAGTTCGGTTTCCTATTCAGAATGCATGACTAGGAAACTCTTACAGTTATCAACGTAACCAAAAAAATTAATTTATCTTAGTTATATAGTATGTTATGGTGCATAGTTATTCAGTACATGGTTATTTAGTACATAATCAACTTCACTGTTGGACGAAATCAATTAATTTTTAATTAGTTTATTTGGTATCATAAAATGCAAAAGATACTAGTAATTCGTGTAAGATCCAGTAGTGGTACATTATCTAGTACAAAAAGATCTGGCTTCAGGGTAAATTTGAATTACTAAATCTTAGAATAAGAAAAAAAAATATGAGAATACAACGAGAAATGTCACAAGATATTTCAGCATTACCTTAGAGAAGAACATTGTTATTCATTACAGGAGCTCCTCAACAAGCAGGAAACTAGTATTTTAACCTAATCTCGTAAATTTCTTCTTGACGGGATGATAAAATCTCGCATCAGGTGATATTCTTAAGAAAAATTCGACAAGTGACATTCTAGAGCAAATATTGCGTTATGAAACGCTATCCAATTTCATACCTCCATGAATTCCAGAAAATAATCAGTCTTACGTGTTGGTGTGCCCTTTAAGACATGTTGTTAAATTCAACGGCTCAGTACATTCTCGAGAAAGGAGATGCACAGAAAATCAGAAACCGTTGATCAAATTTGAAGCATAAAGCTTTTAATTTTGAAGCGTTCTTTGGGGCATTTGGTTTACTTTTTATCTCTTTAGCGTGAGAAGGATGTAGAAAGCACTTTAATCTGCAAGAAGCTGATGAAATCAATCATACTCTAAAAAGTGGGGTAAATTTTCGTAGTTTGCTATTCACCAGGAGGAAAAATCGTTGCCTTTATTTCCGATCCTCCCGCCTCTTCTAAGGAACTAGCTAATGATTTTTCTTCACATGAAGTAAGCGTGTATAGTCTCCATGTTTTTATTAAATTATTTATTTACAAGTAAATATCTTGAAAGCCGGATATCGATTTCGAGACTTACTAACTGTATGTACGAAGTTATATACTAAGAAATTAACTGTGCAGCTTCTTAACGCCTTGGTGTACACTCGAAAATACAGCAACAACAGAGCAGTTCTACCGAATGTTGAACTCGGGAGCACATAATAAGAGAGCATCTACTTATTTCATTTTACTTATTTTATATATGCACATCTGTTTCGAATTTTAGTATGTCCAACATAATATTTACAATATTTAATATTTGTCTCAGAATTTAAAAGAAAAGTGTAAAATATAACGAATAATTTCCATAAATTATCATACTATCTTTAACGAAGTCCTTACTCATGATAATTACTTATGAAAAGTTATTTACATTTCGATAAGTCTTCATCTGTATGAAAAGTTGCAGTTTTCTTTTTAAAAGTGTACAACTAAAGTAAAGCAAAACTGCAACATGAGGAAGATACCAAGTTCAAAATAAAACTAGATTTCGTTGTTTCATGTGCATTAGTTCAAAATAATGATTCCGGGATGCAGTAAAAACTACATATTAAACACATAATCAGAGTACATCTGGCCGCTTTCCCCGCTGATGCCACAAAACTTTTTTTTAACCAAAATATATGCTTGGAGAGATTAAAGTGCTCCATCTATTTTTTATATTGTGGCTCAAGATGATAAATAAATAATTAACTCTTTGCATTTTGCACTGTTATAAGAAATTAGCACAGTAATCTACAGTTAGAAAATACTTTGAAACTGGAGCACGAATTTACCCGCATGTGTGAATTAATGATCTCATAGTTATGAATTACTTGGAAAGTATAATTGTAATAACTAGGTCATACGGGTGCATGAATTATCGTATTTTTTTCTGCTATGCAGAGAACTACTATTCTAGCCATGAATACGTGTGCTTGTATTTTCATACTCATATTTTTAATTAATGTTGAGATCAAATATGCTCATCCCGTAAGAAAAGGTACAAAAGGTACTGCGCAGCATAAAGTGCCCCAGAAGGTAAGGATGCTTAACAAACATTTGCACATAATTTTCACAAATGAGTGAAACAAAGATCACGTTACTAAGCTTTGAACTTGTTTTCATTATAGCGAATGTATTAAAATTTTGTTTATAATTTTTAATCACGAATTATTTAAAAATTTTGCTTATGTGCGTAATTTCTTATTCGAACTGTAACGTATCGTTAAAGTTTTTCGTTTTAATTAATAGTAGAAAATAAATTTATTTAAAGTTAATTAAAATCCTGTCTATCTGGCTGTCATTTTGTTGAATTATTAAAACGCATTTGCTTTGATAAGTACTGAATACCAATGTTCCGATATTCATCAGTGCCAAGTGGATAAGACTTCTGAATACTGGTAACTGGATCTAAGTTTAGATAACACGAATGGAATGCTTACTGAGTATTTTCCCATGCATAATGCAATTACAGGCCAATTTCTCTAAGAAAGAGTTTTGTGCAAACAGCTTTTTCTCAGGCAGATAGTCCTCATGCGCATTGCCTTAGTCCAATCTAATTTACATATATATATAGAATAATTTGGTTTTCAAAGACAAGTAGTTTTCGTGTAGTAGTAATTTTAGTAATCGTCACTTTCATATTTCTTTATATTCGTCGACAAATATTTCGTAAGCCAACATGGATAAACTGGCGAAGTAAGCGTGCTGTTAACTGAAAAACTGCGTTAAGTACCTTTCAGATTTTTCAAATAAGTTCGAAGATAGGTGGAGCAACAGGCATTAGCAGTTAAGCTAATTGAGAGAAAAAATACGCTAGGTACAGAATAAAACCGTCTTCAGAGCTATTTATTTCAGCTTAGATTTGTCGCCATTGGCTCCATTAGCCCATAAAATTTTGGTTATTGGCTGAAGCGTTATATAAGTATCTGCGTCATCAGCTTCACGCAAAAATATTGCAATAAGCATTAATTTTTAAATGATGTAGTTAATAGAATTTTATTATAAACAGTTACTATTTTCAGACAGAAATGGGAAATAGCTAAATTAAAAAGGAGAGTTAAGAGACTATTGCAAATTTAAGGTAGTTATTTAACTTATTTTTTTTTTAAATCCTACATACATATAAGATGATTCCATGTTTTAACTAATGTCTTACTGATTTGCAAAGATGTTTTTTTATCTCATGTAGAAACCACTTTTTCACTTTTCAATCAGCGCTTTTGTATTGATAAATGAAAGAGTTATTTATCTTAAAAGACACTTTCTGTATAAGTTTTCAAATGACTTAAAACAACTTTAAAGCTTACTTTTTACATATTCACAGATAAGATTAGTAATATTTAAGATAATGATTTTTAAATGTACGTTTGTAAAAATATCATAAATTCCGAGTCAGCTCTCGTTACCTGAGATGACAGAGCCTATAGATCAGTAAGAAGCTTCCGAACGTAAAGCCAAATCTGGGCTTCTAGCCCTTAAGTGAGGCCTTGTAACTGAATTCACATTTTACAGAGCAAATGCTCTTATTTTTATTATTTTTTATTATTTAAAATTTTTTAGTTTAATCTTAAAAAAAAAAAAAAAAAAAAAACCGTGCTTAAGAAATAATACTTCCAAATTGTACTTCACAGTTAAAATATTACTAAGCCATAAAGCTAAATTGGCACTTGCTTTCCTTATTAGTGCTAGTGACTGTAAAATGCCTGAAAAATTTCCAGCTTGCTCTCAGCGCGAAGCTGGCTGGCAACGTTGAAATATGGTTGGCGAGCCGATAGAGATTAAATACTCTAGTTTGTTATCAGCTTCGCTGATCCGGAAGAAACCCAAAGCAACCTTTTAGTTATCGTTCCATTAGTCTCCTTCCCTGCGTAACGAAGATTTTAGACAGCATAGAAAACTAACGGAATACTTTAAATCAACGACATATTATTAATAATAACCAATTCGGACACTCGCAGGCCATCATGCAGATTTTGAATACCTTAGGTTTTTGCGGCCTACTTCCTTGATATATGGAAAAGACCTTCCACCGTATATGACGTGAAGATCTCCTTTACAAACTTGTAAAATTCAGCTTACTAACTTCAGTGGTCAAACTGTTCAACACATACCTGAAATGTCGAACTTTACAAATAATAGTAAGGAACATTGTCTGAAGTAGAAGGATTATTCGTGCAGGAGTCCCACAAGTTTCAGTCTTAATGCCGTGTCTTTTTAACATTTATATAAACGACTTAAAGGACTCACTCAATAGCAATGGTCTCAAATATTTAGATGATACAGCTGTCAAGACGCAATAGATTAGGCTTAGCCATGCAAATGGTAATTTACAATTCAGTTTGAATACAGTTGCACATTTGTGTGACTTATGAGAATTTAAACTTAAATGCAGATAAATGCAGCGTTGTCCTGTTTAGACATAATAACAAGTGAATCTAAATGTCAAGTAATCAAACTCTCCCAGTTGTACATTCCATAAAATATTTAGGAGCTTTTTTAGATGAATATTCAAAGATCACGAAATACATGTCTTAGAAAAAGGCAGTGTTGCTATGCCATGGTGATTTCGAGTCTCATAGAGAGAAAAATGAAACTTAAATTTATGCATCAAAAGTATCTTATATGTCACTGCAATTCGCCTGTTTTATTGTACGCCATTTCTCTGTGTACAAAAGCGCTCAAGACGTACAGGAAGAAAATCATAATACTTTTAAATAAAATCCTGAGAGCAATTACTAACCCTTGGTGGTTTGCGTAAAATCAATGACTTCATCAAGATCTTAAATTTCATCATGCACAATATTATAATCTTATAAGCTCTCATAGCTTCTTACGGAACCCTAATTTTGACCATCTTTCTCAGTTAGGTGATTATGATAATAGTACTCTTGAAAATACCTTTAAACGACCGCGTGCAATACATTACAATGGTGCATTTTAAACTGCAATATGACTGAATCTGTATATATTTGTGTATATTTTCTTTTTTAATATCTACATTGTATTGCAATTCATTTCATTTCTTCCTTTGTTCCTTTGAACTACCCTCACCACTTTTTTTGCATATTTCAAACTTATCACATGTTTAAGACATATAAATTGCAAAGTGCAGATGCACTTTGCCTCACTTTTAAATACTCATTACAGTAATTGTAAATCTAAGAAAAAATTAAAAGAAAAATTTCATTACTAACGCCTTTAATAAAAATGATTCGCCTAAATAATAATATTATTAGGTTTGACATATATAATACAATATATATATAATTATTATGAATTTTACTATTCATTGTATATTATGTTCAAAGCGATATGCGAGAATGCAGCGAAAAGCCGAAAGAATCGAATAAGAGATTGGAAAAATCGATTCAGTCAAACCGTACAACTCTCCGGACTAATTTCCTTCAACTATAATTTTGAAATTTCTTAAACATCCTTTTCGCGTACAACTAACAATAAAATTTTGGAACGAAAAGTGTTCAGAATGTTGAGAAGTGCTAAAAATTAATCTTACTTTAAATATGGGATAAGAAACATTTATTTATTATATTTTATTTAAATGAGAATTCAACTGTTCTGGAAAGTTTCCAACAAGAGCTCTAAGTCAGTGAAGGTGCTAAAGGAGCTGCCACTCATTTTTGTCAAATCACCATTCGCTCACTTCGTAAAGTGAAGCGCTTATTTAAATCAGTTCCCCAGCGGATCGACCATATCTAAAGCAAACCTTTATATTTATGTGTTTTTATACATCTGAGATTCTTTACATAGTATTTAAACTCGCGCTTCGAATGAGCTGAAAAGCAAAAAGTAATTAAATGGTATTCTTATTTGAGTTTAAAATTTTTCACTGAAATGAAGAGGCCTAGAACTGCTTAATTAAAAGCAGATATTAAGTGCACGAAAAATGGTTCTTCTCAGTTTCATAACCAGGGCTCCATTTTGATGAACTAAAAATTCTTTGAAAGTGAGCGGGAAATGTTCATAAAAGGGGGAAAACGCCTTAAAAATAAACAAAAGTCTCCCCATAAGAAAAAAAAAATAACATAGAAAATGACCTAATTGTCAAATGGATAAAACCCAAACAATTATCCATACCTGACACTCGAATTTTATTTTTTCTTTCGAAGTTTCAACCTTATACAAATGTATTACAATTGCACTGAATTATTAAGAGCTTATTGATGTTTTCGAAAGTTAAAGATATTCTGTCATCAGTAAATAAGATTTTATTTCCAGCTAACAAAAGTCTCAGCTAAATACTGAGAAATATCGGTATGGAAAAATCCTTAGAAGTGGCGCTCATACTTTGTAGAAAAGCGTCTGTCATGATAGAAAGGACTTTAAAAGATTGTATGTCAGTTTCCGTCAGATGGGACATGGTTGGAGTAAAAATATGTTGATAGTAGTTGAGACAGAATTATTTCAAGGGTAAATTTATTTTTCACTTTGAGTACTAGAATATGGATCAGAATGCTCTGAAATGTCCTAAAAATTCTAAAAAAATCCTCTAAAAACATTTTCACATGCTTTAAAAGAGAGCAACAAAATTCCAATAAAAAGTGCTTATGTCATTAAAATCCAGGACTCCTTTTTTGTATGTATAAATTCTTCGCTCTCCGTACGTGTGCTTTGAAAATACAGTTGCCAGAAATATCTTTTTGTTGTCAGACTTTAATAATAGGTCATATTCGGAATTGATCAAAAGAGACATTCTAAGCATCGATCTGTTAAGCAAAGTTAAAGTGGCATTCAAAGAGATCTTTGAATCTTTATTATGAAATTTAAAATTTAACGTAGAAGAAGAAACTACTGTTTGATTTACTTTGATATTACTTCTGTATGTATTAAAATAGCTGTCGATTCGATTTCGGCTACTGGTCATTACGTATCCGGTAGAAATAAATTTTATTTTTCTCGAATGTTGTGTTTAAGAATGCTTAGCTTACGCTTCATTCATAAATGACATATAAACTCCTAATATATTCTACATCGTGAATTTCTTCTTTAGTAGTTCGTTTAAGTGAATATTCTTTTTG